ACAGAACAGGGGCATAGCTGCAGGGGAAGTGGCACAACGGAATGGTGCCATGGGAGCGGCCATGGGCAGAACTGGGGGAGTTGCTCTCAGGGTGAATAAAAATCAATGTTTTGTTGGGTTTTTTAAATAAAAAAATGGATTTTTTGGATAACATGCTTTTTGAGGGGAAAAAACCTATCTAAAGATAGTTTTAATGAAGATACGTTATAGATATCTCATCATGGAATAGGAATTATAAATTCTAATTCTATAGTATGAGACAATATATTCATGTAATGTTTAAGAAAAGTTTTGTAAATGAGAACCAATAGTTCATGGATTAAGGTCCCAATCTTATGGGATCCAGAATACATAATGTTGTTGTTTTAGTTAAATAAAACAATTTAAAAGTCTGTCTGGTGATGTTCTCCTCCTAATACAGCATGGCAAGAAAATCCTCCAAATATTAATGATTAACCTGTTGAACTGGAGATAGTTCACCTCCCAATGACTTCATAAATATCTGCTTCAATTACCTTTGGCAAATGAAATAACCAAACAATCATTCATTTTCTGATAAAGCTGTAAAACTAACCTGAAAAGTTTTCAAAATAAATCATTTAAAAAACATACAGTGTACCTTCTAAAAATGAAATCTACATCTATCTCGGAGTTGTGAAGAATATGTATTAAGGTTATAACAACTAACAACAATGTACTTTTATGTAGAAATCCATGATTCAATAGAGTCTTCCTGACTAGTGATTTACATCAAATCCACCCTGTCCATAATCCATGTGTATTTGCTGTCAACTAACATTGGAACAATACAATTTCTAAAGCCTACATAAAAAATCTACCTGACAAATGTGCACATGCCACATATGAAAATGTAGGGTTGAACAATTTTAAAAGTCTTTAAAGGATTTTCCAAGGACGTAGGCATGAAAGATAAATGTATCCGTATTCCATATTAAGTGATTTCAAAACAAGATTTGTGCCAGGATTAGAAGGTACATTTAAACCATACAGACATTATGTACTTTTTGAATACACACAGTAGTGCAAATATTTACAAGTTCAGTTACTTCAAAAGTTTAAGCTACACAGAAAATTGAAATTAAGGTCCAACATTATCTTCAATTAAAACATTCTACTGTATTTTTAAATCACAGACAGTATATAGTCTTAGTCAAATTTTGCCTTGTTCCACCTTTGTAATTTATATGACGTTGATGGGTAACTGAGGGCAGAATTTATAAATCAATATTTAAAACTGGCAAACACCTGGGACTTCAATTGCTTAGTGTTCAATACATCTCTAATAATTATCTGTATAGTATTTTTAAAAATCATGTGATTGTATAATCTGACATTGTTTCATTTGCACATATAAAATTTTGTTTGCATTACTTTTGCTATGATTTTATTTTAGTAAACATTTGTCTTAACTGGCATGAATAGTTAAAATTAATAGTAGCTCCTTACACTGAATCTGCTAGGAAAGGTTTTTCCTCAGAGACTACAAAAAGCTGAAACTCACTTTTTTTGCTCACTTAGCTCTTGCGTTGAATCTTTCTAGATTAAATAGCAACAGCCCACATAGGGGCCAAAAATTTCAACTTTGGGTGTCTAAAATTAGGCTCCAAAAATCAATACTTAGCTATCTTAATAAAAGTGGCTGGATTTTCAGAAGGGTTGAGCACTCACAAATCCCAAATAGTCATTTTTGCACTAGTATGAACAAGTGAAAATAGGTCATCGTGAAAGTCACTCTGCCACCTTCACAATCAGTTTTTGCACTACAGTTGTCATCAATTACTTTATACTATAGTAGTACCTTTACTAGCTGTTTTCTGTCACTGGCAGAAAGTCAACAATTTTACAAAAAAGACAACATACAGCTGTTCACAGTAACTTCATTTGACTAACTGAATACACAAGTTTTTTCAATTCCCATCAGACAGAATATGACAATCATTGGTTATCTGAGTACTTTGTAACAGATTACATAAAATTTATTTAAGACAGCAGAATTATGTAATTTTTTTTTCTTAACAAAAATGTTGTTCTGATTTTACGTAACAGCAGAGTGCTTTTGGATTCCTCTAATTCTCCATCCAGTGATCTGCATATACAAGTTCATGTATTTATATAAAGAGGTTGTGTGTAGGTATTTATTTGAGAGTACTCTTAATCTTGTTTCTGTTTCTTGCCTCACTTACAAACTGCTTTTCCACGTGAAGTTGGGAGATTTTTCATTTACTGTTAAGGAAAAAAAAAGTAAAGTAAAACTGGCCAAGTTAGTCACTGAAAGCTATCATTGTTGGGTCTAAATATAACTGTTTTTTGCTATGGACAAGGAAAATATTAGCAAAATGAAGTAACTCAGGAAGCTTAATTCTAACCTCGGACACATGAAGTTGTCACACCACATATCTTAAAATCCATTTGTGCACACACACTAGGAGATTTTATTTTAAAGCCACAATGCTGTCCACCTGAATACTGAAGGTTAAGGTTAAGTGTTTAGTTTACTGGAGATTGTTAAACATCCACAAATTGGCTAACTATAACAAAACCAGACTTCTAGGGATATAAACCATATTAAGAATGAATTTTAATGAATATAATTATAAAACTTAAGGAAAACATACTGGAACTTCTGAATATTAAGAATCTTTGGGCAACAGAGCATGTTTTTTTAAAGTTTGTACCCAGTTTGAAAGTAAGTCATACTGTTAGGTTAACAGCACAAAGTAATTTTCTATCAAGGTTTTCAAAACCTGGCAGAAATTGTTTTGATCCATTCATGACATCTCTTTTTTTAAACTGTCAAATACTGACTTTGATGTAAGGGCCCTTACAATACTTTCATCCAAATTAGGGAGAGAGCAGAGTTTATCTATACACAAATTATAAAACACTACTGTATACACTCTTTTAAAAAAAAAGATACAAATCAATAAAGGTAGTACAATTCTGAAATGAGGTTATAAAAAAGGTGTAGAACCACACTGCAGTCTCTAGAACTACATGGAGAGTTAGTGACTCCATTAGATAGAACCATGTGCCAAATTACTGTTATAGTTTTCATAAAACAATGGAATAAAGTATGCTAGGCATATTCAGTGCTGCACATTAACAAGAGATTTCTTTGGACAAATATTTTGTGAAAGTTAGAAGAAACTTTCTTTTGACTGCTGCTACTGTTTTCTAAGAACAGACCAAAATTTGAAATACTGCAGCTCACACTGTATTAAAAAATGGCTTTGTACCAAAACAAAATCAAAGGTCAATGATCAGTGGTATGAATATACAAGGACTTGTATAGTACTCATTCAGGACTAATAATATGTATTTTTCTTAACATAAATCCTTAAGCTGAACTGAAATATTGACAAAGGTATTGTGCTGTCATGTGTATCACAAACCTAAGCTCTAATTAGTACTTACAAATTTAATATTTGCATCACAAAGTGTACAAATCAGCAAGCAAAAAACCACAGTTCTTATATTTTCAACTTTGCTGCCCCCCATCAACCTCCCACAAGAATACTCAATATGGATAAAGGACTTGAAAACATCTTTTTCATTCTTCCAAGGAAGGTGGAACATGTAAATTAATTCTATATGCATCAAAAGTAACACGTTGAAGAAAAGTCACAAGAATTATTCTAGCCAGCATTTGGTACAACCCATAATTGTTAAGGCTGCCAATTTCAGATGCTCATTTCTTTCTGAAGCATAGACTTTTTTGACTGAAGCTCAGTGTCCTTGGTCACCTTATCAAAAGGTGAATTTTTATGGTTTTAAGAAGTGAAAAAATTCTTACATGGGGAAAAAAATTGGCGCTAACAACTTTTGACTGTTTGAAAGGTACACACTGAGCATGCACAACAGAACATATTAAATTGACAGATGTACATTTAAGGTGATTTATTGTGCATATGTGCACAGCTTATTAATGGGCAAGTTGTGGCTCCTCCTAGGAGGGGCAAGGGAAGCCTCTACTCATCTATTCCTTGGGTATCTGCACAAGGCCCAGAAAATAGCCTGTTAATTGTGCTACCTCAGATGAGGCTTTGGGGGTGAGGAAGGGAGGGACTTGTTAGTATGGTCAACAGCACATAAGGCCCACAGGGGTCTTACTCAGCCAAGTTTGTGAAGTGGCCAGGACCTATCCTCAGTGTGCTTGCTAGTGTCCAGCAGTGGATAGGAGAACACATGCTACACCATTTAAAAGGTGTAGTGAGCTCAAGGGATCATAATGATGCCCTACTGCATTCTGCTTGCATCGCTCTTATGTACAAAATATGGTTCATAGTACTACCTTCTCAGCCTCTACAGTTATGGTACCAAAGCAATGATTGTGCTTGAAGACATGATTTAGACTTAAGTGCTTCCTTTTTAAAAATTCTATCTTCAGATGTTTTAACTTAAAATGATACCAAACCCATTTCTTCAAACTTTATTTATCACTTAAACTCCCCCCCAAATTTGAAGAAAATTGGGCTAAATGCTTTTATTTAAAACTCAGCAAGCCCTGACAGCTTATCCACTTGTACACATTTATATTTTTATATACTGGTACATATACTTGTTAGCCTTTGGCTAATGCCTGTTAAGGTTTTCAAGTGCCTACTTTTCTAAAGACATTGATAACCATTACTTGGCCTTTTCTTAAGGGGTCTTATTACAGAACTGGAACATTTTCTTGACCATTTTTATTTTAAAATAACTTGAAAGTAAAATGCAAAAAACCCTAAATTAATACAACATTAAGATTGCAGTTAATTACTATAAAAGTCAGGAAATGTAAAAGATAAGCTTACACAATTTTTAACTTTGCCCCTCAATAACAAATGCCTAAAAAAGTCATTAGTTATGTAATCCACAGCTGATCTAAACTTTTAAAAAAACATTATAAAATGTATCTGAGAAACTGCATGTGATGACAAATACTATTGTAATGCGTATATTGTTTAATTCTGATCTCTTGAATATATGCATTACAATAGTATTTATTGTCACAGACAGTTTCTCAAACATATTATATGATCTTTACCAGAACTTTATATATCCTTAACGTTAAATCACCTTAGTTTTTAAGGTAATTCTACTTTAAATTGTCTGAGTGACTACCAATACTACAAAAATTGTGTGAAAAACTATCAATGTGTGAGTGCCAGGAAATAATTTAACAAAATACTGTAAGAAATAATTTATAAAAGAAAAAACTTACACACTTTTCCTTCTTTTTCTAACTTCCTTAAGTGAAGGGTAAGGTTATTTTCTGCGGCTTTAAGTAAATTTTCAGGAATTTCCTAAATAGAGATACAATGAATATATAATCATGCCATATCTGCCAATATTATTTTTGTTTTTATTTTCCTCAATACACAAAAGGGAACTCTTCTATGTTTAACTACCCACCAGCAGTGACAAAGAATTGAAATAAGTCATACCACTTAAATCTCCAGTTTAAATAATATTTTTTTCCCATTCTTTGCATTATGTCCTAATTCAGGATAGCACATGTTTAGGATAGCCCAAATTTAACAATGTATTACAAATAAACCATTTCTAATTTTAGTATTTGGCCAAATACGAAGCTCAACATAAGAACGGCCATACTAGATCAGACCAAAGGTCCATCTAGCCCAGTACCCTGTCTTCTGTCTTCAGGTGCCCCACAGGGAATGAACAGAACAGGTAATCAAGTGATCCATCCCCTGTCGCCCATTCTCAGCTTCTGGTAAACAGGGGCTAGGGACACCATCCCCACCTATCCTGGCTAATAGCCATTGATGAACCTATCCTCCATGAACTTACCTAGTTCTTTTTTGAATCCTGTTATAGTCTTGGCCTTCACAACATCCTCTGGCAAGGAGTTGCACAGGTTGACTGTGCATAGTGTGAAAAATACTTCCTTTTGTTTGTTTTAAATCTGCTGCCTATTAATTTCATTTGGTGACCCCTAGTTCTTGTGTTATGAGGAGTAAATGACACTTCCTTATTTACTTTCTCCACGTGCCATGATTTTATAGAGCTCTATCATATCCCCCCTTAGTCGTTTCTTTTCCAAGCTGAAAAGTCCCAGTCTTATTAATCTCTCTTTATATGGAAGCTGTTCCATACCCCTACTCATTTTTGTTGCCTTTTCCTGAATCTTTTCCAATTCCAATATATCTTTTTTGAGATGGGGTGACCACATCTGCATGCAGTATTCAAGATGTGGGTGTACTATGGATTTATATAGAGGCAATATGACAGCTGTACATCAAATTCCCTTTCCATTCCTCAAGGTTTTTCCCACAGTTGCCAGCATTTCTTAAAATTTGAGGGGAATTTTCCAAATATGCTATGGATCTGGCAGTTAGAGATCTTCTGGGATCTAAATGGTTGTCTTGGTAAATTGTCAGTTATTTTAAAAATAAATATCAGAGTTGCAAAACAGTTATCTCCATATTAAAAATGTAGTGCCATTGTAAAAATTATTATAAATTAGTGACTGGAGAACCTCAGAATGTTTGTGATTCTGATAAGCATCACAACTTCTGGATGCTTACCTGAAGTAATGGAGCTTCTCCTTGAAACCACCTCTCCTCACATAACTGTTCCTCCCACAACAGGCTCTCCCACCACAGCCTATTCTGGTCTTCGAAGGGGGGCAGGGGGAGATTTAAAATTCAGAGTTTGTTACCCAGGCCTGTCCCCATACCTATCTGAAATTACATGGGGGACCCACTTCTCCCAAATTTTCTACCCGTTGGTGTCATTATCCCCCACCCCCCCAGTTCCCCATCTCCTCTGATTAATCCCACCTGCCACTTACCTCAATGTGTGGGGGAGGGGACTACTGGCTCCCTTCCCTGGCTCTGAGCTGGTTTCCACTCTACACAAAAATTATCATCAGCCTAGAGTAGCTGCTCAGACAGACAACAGATAGCAGTCTCTCCTTGATCTGTATGGGAGACTAGCATTACGGAAAAATCCCTCCTAGGCTGCAGTAGTTCCCAGTCTCCAGGACACAGACTGGAACTTCAAACACCTGAGATGCGTTCGCAAAACCCTTTGTAAACCTGTCCAGGATGTTTACAGCCCATGTCAGATTAGGATGGTTGACAGCTATCTTTTGCCCTCCCAGCATCTTGCACTTTTCCCTTCAGCCCAGCCCAGCCCAGTGAATAAGTTTTTCCTGTAAGCAACATCATGAAAGAGTTCTCTATACTGCATGCCCTACACTCTGAGAATTACCATAAAGAGAGGAAGGGTAAGCAGAAAGACTAATATCTTTAGAGCTCTGTCTGATGATCAATAAATAGACTTTTGAGTGCACAGGCTGTTTATCTTTAAGTCACAGGATCCAGCTCCTGTTGCCCCATGGCAAGTTGTCAGAACACAGGGTTTCTAGCACAGTTTTTAGCCTGCACCTTCCTGAAGCCTGTGGGAGCTTGCAACTATAAGTTCTAAAATACCTTGCAGGAGACTCCGAACAACCCTGGACATAAATATATTTAGTTATTGTCTAACATTGTTCATCCTGATCTGACTATTTTTAACTACAAACTTTCTTGATCCTCATGAGAAACGTGTGATTACTAAGCTTCAAAATAATTATGAAAGGTAGAAGTTAATAAAAATAATTTAAGCCCAGATCCAGTAAAGCATTTAAATCGCGAGACTACTTACATGCTTATAGACAGGTGTGAATTTTGCTACATTAGTCCTTTACCGCACATGACTAGAACAGAAAAAATGCCAAATGTGGCTCAGCTTAACTATGACGCCTCCTAAAAGCCCACACACAAACGCATACCATGTTGACTTTATTTAAGTGAAAATTAAGGTTCTTCTTCGAGTGCTTGCTCATATCCATTCCATTAGGTGTGTGCGCGCCGCGTGCACGATCGTCGG